GCTGGAGGGGAGCGGATAAGAATAAATAGAAGAGCCTTCTGAGCGTCCCGGCCTGCCAGCGGTGCCATTCGGAGCGGACGTACGCTCTAACACAAGAATCCCCCTCGAAATTGGAAAGTTAGACGAGTTGAGCTGTGAGTACTTTCAAGCTAGAAAGTCGGATAAGGGTCTGTTCATGAATGTTCTGTTCGTTTTTTTAGTTCTGCTTTCAACTTCGCCCGTCAATTAGTATAGCACCATAAACTTCGCTTGTGACAAAATACATAGTTGGAGACCAAATCTATTTTTTTAAACTCCTCAAGAAGTACTAAAAAACTCAAAATTTGTAACTTTCTTGGGAACTTGCTAGAAAATTATGCACCACGCCTAGAAGATGATATAAGGAGACTAGAAAGAGGGTTAGGAACGGCTGCCAGCACTGTTCAATGCAATCAAAGAGGTTAATTAGAGTCGTGTGTTGAATGCATCTGCAAAGGTTAGGTATTCAGACTGAAAAGCCAAGTGCCATGCTGTCGCAGACGTGCATTCAATGGAACACAAAAGGCTTCTATAGAAGTTGCAATGATGAAATAAAGTAACATACAAAGTGTCCACTACGTACATACTAACACCATACGAAGTCCATACGCAATCCACAGTTCATACATAATCTGCAGGCCCATAGAATAACCTAAGAACTCTCATCCTTAGTCATCACCATCATACAACAATTCGTCGTCGTCATCCCAATCCTGCACGTCCTTCGCTTTCTTGGTTGCATCCGCCTTTTGCCCTAGGGCACTCTGCCTCCACCCGATCTGCTGCATGAGAATCGAATTTATCGTCGAAGTCGCCAGTCATAACCTTTTGAACCTTTTCTTCACAGTACTCTGCCTCCGTCTTGTCAGCAGGTTGAGAATATGAGTGTGTTTGGACTGCTCCATATTTTTTAATTAAACGGTTTTAGCTCCACGTACTTTATTCGAGAAAAAAATATGGAGTTGTGAGAATACCTAAAAGAGATGCTCCATAAACTCCAGATTTTTTGTAGAGTTGCAACATAGTGAAGTTTATGAAGCAAAGTTCCTGGAGCAATCCCAAACATCCCATAGGGCTTCTATGAAGAGCACCAGCAAGATCCTTCATTGTCTCCATTGGGACTTGTTGCGCCTCAACCTTCCTCTAGATCTTGCCCTACTCTTTTGTCTTCTTCTTTCAGCAACGCACTTAGCATTCTCACATTGCTTCTTCTTGCGATCCTTAATGAAAGACGCGGCGAGACCAGGATAACATTCTAACCTCGCCTCAGCCATTTCTTTGCCCTAGTAATCCTCGCAATCAAATTTTCGAGTGCTTTGCTGAAAGACAATATCAATTTTATGTGGCAAACACAATAATAACAGAGAAACTTTAAAGGGATTGTAAACATGACTAACTTCATCATGACCAACTATGCCCACAATAGTGACCTACGCCTAGTTGGTTGGCCACCCAACACGGTGCTCTCTACTACCACCTTCTCCTCCCCTTTCACAGGCCAGTTTAGTCTATGTCATATTGGATATTCAGATGCTAATTAGAAAGACTAAAGATAAGTTAATTATAAAATTAATTACACAGATGGAGACTAATTTGCGAGACGAATCTATTAAATATAATTAATCCATCATTAGCACATGTTATTGGCCCCGTTCGGCTTGTTGAATTTTGGTTGAAACTGGCTGAAAAATACTGTTTTGGTTGAATTGTTGCGAGAGAAAAACACTGTTTCGGCTAAAAAAAGAAGCCGAACAAGCCGGCTTCTGGGTAAGCCGAACGGGACCATTGTAGCACCACATTATCAAATCATGGACAAATTATGTTTAATAGATTCGTCTCGCAAATTAGTCTTTATCTATGTAATTATTTTGTAATTAATCTATATTTAATACTTCAAATTAGTGTCTACACATCCGATGGGTCCTTGGAACCAAACAGGCCACCACAAAGGAGCTGTTTGGCTAATGGTTTTTGCGGCTGATATGCTGGCTGCAGCTGTTTTGTTTTATGAGAGAAAAACATATTATACGATGGCTGATAAGACGGACCGATAAGTTTAAGCGTACAGCGCGAAAGAAGAAAGCTAAAAGAACAAAATTCGGCTCTATCGCGATTGTGTTCTTTATAGGGCACATCTCATATCTATATGCTCTTTCCCAAGTAGATTTTTCTTAATATACACATACTCTATCCCTACTGTGTCCTTTATATATATTATCATATAATAGAAATTATAAATCGTATTCAGAACCGCCACTAATAAATCGGTTCGGAGCTTTCCGGTGTAGGGCACGGCCTGGCACGAGCTTGCACTGCATCCTTGTCCGTGGACCTTTTTGCGTTCATGATCGATCGATCGATCGATCCATCGCTGCTGTGCGAAGCGAAGCATGGGCAGCTCAGCTTTTGCATTTACTCCGGCCATAAAACGCCTTGCAATCACGCAGCTGTCTTTAACGCCGCTGCAGCTGCACGAACGGCTCCGCACTGGGACTACAGTGCCTCAGTGCTGACCTCATTTCGGGTACTCATACACAGAGGTTGTCGCTTATGGGATGCGGTCAGACTGTAAATTGCATTGCATTTGAGTACAGCATCTAATACTCACTAAGATGTAACTACATCTGGATCAAGGACCAAGAAATGTATTTAGGCTACGTTTGGGTTGGCTCCGGCCGGCGCCGGCTCCTCCGCTATAGTACACTGTGACGGAGCCGGCCCAAGCACCCAAAAACCAGCTCCTCGCGCTCGTGTCTGGTGGCAGGCAGAGCCGGAGCCTTTTAAAGGCTGTGCACAGTGACGCACAGGACCGAACAGCGCAAGCACAGCCAAGCCGGAGCCGTAAGAGCGCCACCAAACACAGCCTTAATTCTCTCTCTCAGTACAATGTTATTACTGCATCGATGCACGTGTATTTAGAGAAAACATATCTTGTATCATGAGACATGAATAAAAGTGGTTATGTCTTATATATTAGGATGGAGAGAGTAACCGTCAGGGCGGTCCATCTAAAAGTGACAAAGAATCTCATTTCGCGTGTTAATTACTCTCTCCATTCTAATTATAAATTGCTTTAATTTTTTTATATTAATATTACTATATAAGTAGACAATAAGACATGTTACGTCTAGATATGTAGGAAAATTAATATATTAAAAAGTTAAAAACGATTTATAATTTGGAATGGATGTGTAGACAAAAATCGGCGCAGATTCTTTGACTTGCCGTGGTAAAGTTACGGGTGACTTTCCACCTCTCCGATGCCTTCCATTTAACATCCAACAGCTGAGGAAGGAAACAACTTTCTATGTGCCGGCTGCTATGATGCTCGGCCCAAATAACGCCCAGTTCAGAAGTGAGATGAACAAAAGAGCCAACCGAATCTTAAAAAACATGTGAGCTCAGATAAAAATAAATAAAATGTACATAAAGTTGTACAGCTAAAAAAAATATAGAATTTTGTAGTTCATGTCCTTTTCATTTAAATTCATTTTGGTGTCTAAAAATTGATATAATGTTTAGATTTGTATTCACAAATCTAAACAGTATATCGATTATTTTAGTATTAAGATGGTTTTAAACGAAAATATTGTCAACTACAAGTGGGGCAACCTCTTTAGTATATGCAATTTTCATATGAATTTTATCTCTATTAGTGGACATGCATGTGCGGCACACACGTGTTTATGATTGTGATATAAAAAAGAGGATAAAAACATAAACTTTAGTCAACTTAACATTGTTTTTTATAGAATAAACTTAAAAATGGTTTGACTTATGACAACAATAAAACCTTAAAATAGTAGATACATATCACATAAAAATGAATTCTAACAAAATCAAAAGATCCAAATACATTCAAGCATAGCTTCACTATGTAAAGGTAAAGCTTGTCTTTAGAAAAAAAAATTATACAAAATTTCATATTTCTCTAGCTATAATGAATTAGTACGAATTTTATAAAGATTTAATTAGGTTTTAATAAATCTTTATTATTGAAAAAATGTCATTCTCACAGTGGCATGCACCGACTTATAAATGCATAAATCTACACTGTTTCCAAGACAACACATTGAGTCTTGAAATCTGGGAAATGAAACTCCCTACTGAGACTGGCCTAACTAGTTTGGCTGCTCGCAATTTAGCTGAGCATGAGTCTCATAATATAGGCCCTAAATTTTGGTTGAGTATCAAAAAATCAAAGTGATGTGGATAATTCTTCAATCCGATCCAAATCTAAATTTTGAGGATATAGAGAAGAACTTTAATATCCATGTGGATACGGATAATTCGAATCCAAATATGTGCGGATACGGGATATGATATGAAATAGAAAAAATTCAGTAGATATGGATTATCCACAAATTCTATTCAGATTATCCTATGTTTAAAATACGATATCCGATTTTCTTTGTTAGTGTCAACACTAGCGAAATGCAACACCGTTACATAGCAACACTAGCGAGTTGATTATTGGAGGCAATTTATTTACGCCGTTACATATAGCACATCTTCAATTTTTTTATCTTTATCCAAGCTTATACGTAAAAGTTACGATAAAAAGGATAAACTGCACAGAGAAAAAAATTCCGGCAGCTATATAACTCATTTGTGGATGAACTGGGCTTTAATTGAACTGTTATTTGCATCCAGGTTAGGCACTAGTAGTAATAAAAAAGTAAAGACTTCATCGACCGTTGGATGAGAATTGGATGGCATCGAAGTGAGGTAAAGTCACCCATAACTTTACCACGGCAAGTCAGAGAATCTGCGCCGGACAAAAATATGATCTGACACACCTTGTATTGATCAGTGTTGAGTTACTACAACAGTTCTGATTACAGCAGTAGGACACACTCTATGCAAGCGGAGCGGACGCGGAGCGCGCGTCGTGGCGAGCGTTCCGAGTCGCGGGAGCGCAGTAGTATATAGCATAGGCCAAGGACCCCAAAGGCCATAATGAGCTGAGCCTGCTACCGTCCATGCCGGCAGAGAACGAGATGGCCTTATTAGCGACAGAGGCGCCATGGCCCATTTCCTCGCCGCCGCCGGCGTGGTTCGCCGCCCTTGTCGCCGTCGGCCTCTACATCGTCGTGCGGTCCGCCGCCACCTTCCTCCTCTGGCTCCACCGCGCGTTCCTGCGCCCGGGCAGGGACCTGCCCGGGCGGTACGGGACGTGGGCGGTGGTGACCGGCGCCACGGACGGCATCGGGCGCACGGTGGCGCTGGAGCTCGCCCGCGAGGGGCTCCACCTCGTCCTGGTGGGTCGGAGCCCCGACAAGCTGGCGCGGGTGGCGAAGGAGGTCCTGGCCGCCGCGCGGTCGCCGTCGTGCAAGGTGCGGAGCGTGGTGTTCGACCTCGCCGTCACCGGGGACGACGCGCGGCGCGGGGTGGCGAGGGTGGCGGCCGCCGTGGAGGGCCGCGACGTGGGTGTCCTCGTCAACAACGCCGGCGCGACGTACCCGTGCGCCGCCTACTTCCACGAGGTGGAGGCGCCCGTGTGGGAGGCCGTGGTGCGGGTGAACGTCGAGGCCGCGACGCGGATCACGCGCGCCCTGCTGCCGATGATGGCCGCCAGGGGCAGGGGCGCCGTCGTCAACGTCGGCTCCGGCTCCAGCGTCGTCGTGCCGTCGTTCCCGCTCTACGCCGTCTACGCGGCGAGCAAAGCGTAAGCGACGTATCTATCACCATGCCCTGATCTGGGAGTACTTTTTTTTTTGTGTGTCAAGCCATAGCCAAGTGTCATGAGGATGATGCATTTTAGACAACGACGACAGATCGAGAACGAGGTCATCTGCCATTCTTTCTGCCACCCTGCAAGCGCCCATACCGTCCACGTTGCCTGGGCTTGGCCTTACTATAAAAATTGTTAATAATTTCTTATCAGCATTTTAAAAATTAGAACTTACCCGACGGGTTATGTTGCATAAGTTTGGAATATTTTCATCTCAGCCTACTTTCTCATTTCTACTGTCTCCGTCCTAAAAAGAGCTTAACCTTAAGTTCAAGTAACTTTATAAAAAATAATCAACATCTATAACTCCAAATAGATATTATAAATATTTGACGACAAATCTAATAATCATTATTTAACATGATAATGACTTTTTTATATATAAATTTGGCTTTTTAGATTGTTTGACTTAACACTATTCTAGATATTTTTCTTTGTATGGAGGGAGTAGAGTAATCGGCGAGCCATAGAAATACTTCTAACTTCACTTCAACTAATCCATTGTGTTGAAGTGATTTTTTTTTAAATTTTTTTCCTTTTATTTAAGGAGAGAACAATACACTGGTTATTACCTCTCTGGCTCTCTCTATCTCGTGCATGTGGGCAACAATAGCATATATATAGTACTCCAATACAGTAATAGGGGTACGTGCATGCCGGCAATAATAGCAACGTTCTTATCTAGTACGATGCACAAATTAAATGCAAGACCATGGATTACAGAAAGCTTCGAGCTGTTCGGCTGCTGAAGCTGATTTGCACTAAAATAAAAACAGTGTACTAAGCCAGGCTGAGAAGTCCATAAAATGGGTTTGAAGTCGACGTGTTTCTAAAGCGAGTGTTTTGGCATGGAATATAGGGGGTGGTTAGTTCCCCAATTTTGCCAATAGTTTTGGTGTTTTAGCTTATCTTTTTGCAAAATGGATCTAAACACCATGTACCCAAAACAACAAAAGTGGGGCTTTAAAAGTTTTGGCATTTGAGACTAAGAGGCCCAAAACTTATAAAAAACGCGTGGTGGTGGTGGTGGTGGGGAGAGCCGGATGCCCGCTACCCCTGCACCCACCCACTCCATTGCTCGGACCCTATCCATTCCCCCGCAGTCATTCCCCACCGCTCTCGCTCTCTCCCTCCGCGTGAACCCTAGCTCTGCCCGCCGCTCTCGCTCTCGCACGCAGCCTCAGCCTCCGTGGCCGACCGGATTCAGCTCCTCCACGGCCCCAAGATCAACTTCACGATGTTCTTCGATTATAATAGCTTTTATTAGATTCCTGTAGTTAAGAGAACATGGCATTGAATGTTCTTCACAACCATTAATGCTGTTTGTTATTTGTATAATGGCACATGAATGCTCGCCACAACGATACCGAGTCATATGCTTTGAGTTTCAGCTACTAGTGCAGAGGCAGAGCACAGACGCAATGCCACAATGCAGCATTACGTACGATTAGAACGGCATCTCCTTTTCCCAATGGAAAAATGGGTGCATAATATCAGGACAATGAATAAATTATGAACGTGTGTGGTTAATTAACATGGGTACTGATGATTCCATTGATCTAGTACTAGAGTGTACAAATTTTTGTTCAGAATGGTCTGGTAGTAAGTTCTACATCCGGAAAAAAAAATGATCGACATTACTAGATTGTTGGATATTGCATTCCTATTTTTTTTCAGTACAGAAACACTCATCTAGCATATTTGTTGAACCCAACTGTCTATATATGCATTGATCTGTTAGGTACGTTGATCAATTTTCTCGAAGCCTGAGTGCTGAATACAAACAATATGGTGTAGACGTGCAATGCCAGGTACGTACGTATATAACAGTAATGTCGCCCTCTTAATTACTGCTTTTCAATCTGTAATGTCGATCATTTTTTTGTGTGTTATATATTTATGACCTCTCATGGTTGTGATCCAGATCCCTCTGTATGTGGCCACCAAGATGTCGCCTGTGAAGGGCGCTTCTCCGTTCGTACCATCGCCTGAGGAGTACGCCAGGGCCGCTCTTCGCTGCATTGGCTACGAGGCGAGGTGCGTCCCGTACTGGCGCCACTCGGTTCAGTGGTTCTTGGCGTCTCTAACGCCAGATGCTGCTCTGAATCACTGGCGCCTCCAAACTGGCATCCGGAAAAGAAATGAGATGAAGGCTCAGGCTCTGCTCGGAGAAAAAGCCTGCAGTTAGATTGTTGTATAGATCGAGAGCAAATGGAGCGATGCGTTTACTGTGATCTGTTTGGAATCCTAGCTGGTAGTAAAACCCAAGAATTGGAGTATAGTCTTGCAAACAGTAGTACAGTCAGTCCAGTGAACTACGTAGAACTCTACTAGTGTGATATGTTGAGTGGAAACATACCGTCTTGAAGTATTCGTTGTTTATCTGAAATGCAAATATTGCTACATGGATCTATTTTAGCTAAGCGCCGTGGAGCTGGTGATTAGATCATTCATTTAGTTATCTGTCAGCTTCATTTTATATATACTAGCATAGGAATATAAGCTGCTTTATACAATTACACGAGATGCCCACCTCACGTATAGGAGGAAGCTAAGGACATGTTGAACAGAATGTTAAGTTATTGTCAACTCATGCGCAACAGCTAAATAAACAACTTATATAAAGGGTTGTCTATTTAATTGTCTACAAACTGTTTAATACTTGAGTGCGACTATGATATGATTAGCTATGAATAAGATCTCTGTGTAGTATCTTGCTCTTTTTTATTTTTATTTTAAAGAGATCAAGAATAAATAAGATCAGTTGACAGGTCTCACACATGACAATAATTAAAAAAGAGTAAAGTGCACCAACGGTCCCTAAACTTGTATCGCTGTGTCATCCCGATCCCTAAACTCACAAATCGACTGTTTAGGTACTCAAACTTGTTCATCTGTGTCATCTCGGTCCCTAAACTTGTTCGGCTGTGTCATTCCGGTCCCTAAACTTGCAAATCAACCGTTTAGGTCCTTAAACTTTTTCAGTTGTGTCATCCCGGTCCCTAAACTTGTTTTGAGTCTCATCTGGGTCAAAACAGGGTAATCTAAAAACTTTATATCAAAAAATAATTCATAATTTTTTCGTATGAACTCGAATGAAGACAAACTTTATATCAAAATTGAAGCCCTCGACGCGATCTATGACTTTGTAATTGAATTTTTTTTGAATTAAAACTGTTTAGGGTCCCAAAATATTATTGTATGCTTATATATTTTGAAATTTAAAATTTAAAATTAAATTTTGGAACACTAAATGACTTCAAACAAAAAACTTTTCAACTACAAAGTTGTAGATCGTATTGGGAATTATAATTTTCATATATACCATATCAATATCCAAGATTGTTTGATAATTTTAAATTTTAAATTTCAAAATTTATAAACATACAATAATATTTTGGGACCCTAAACAGTTTTAATTCAAAAACTTTTCAACTACAAAGTCGTAGATTGCGTCGAAGGCTTCAATTTTGATATAAAGTTTGTCTTCATTTGAGTTCATATGAAAAAGTTATGAATTATTTTTTATATAAAGCTTTTAGATCACCCTGTTTTGACCCAGATGAGACTCAAAACCAAGTTTAGGGACCGAGATGACACAACTGAACAAGTTTGAGAATATAAACGAGTGATTTGCAAGTTTAGGGACCGGGATGACACAGCCGAACAAGTTTAGGGACCGAGATGACACAGATGAACAAATTTGAGAACCTAAACGGTCGATTTACGAGTTTTGGGACCGGAATGACACAACGATACAAGTTTAGGGACCGCTGGTGCACTTTACTCATTAAAAAAAAACTCGAAGCTAGGTATATAACACAAGTAAAATTGTGCAGGTAAGCAAACACAAGTAAAATTGCAGTAGGAGATCTGGATAAGGGGTTGTGCAGGTAACTGATCAAGCCCTAGGTGGGATACAGCACCATCTGTGGCCCTCCATACTGTCGTAGCCGGCAATCGTACGTGGCATTTAGACGGATCAAGGTGTTTTTGTGTACACATGCTTTTGTCGGTGTCTTGGACCTACTACAACACATTCCCCCGTCCCCACATGCCACAGCGATGCCGAATTGTCGACGGTGCCGGCACTTGGCTTCCTACAGTGTTCAGCAGCAGTGCTGCAACTTTCTGGTCTTTGCTGAGAGCAAAGAAGCACACGAGAGAGAGAGAGAGAGAGAGAGAGAGAGAGAGAAGAAGCACAGCTGCTGCTGCTTCTAGCTGGTTTTTATTTATTAAGCAAACTCATCAGTTCGGTAGAGTCGCATACATAAGCTTTTCTAATGGCCTAGGGATGGAGGGAGTATAAACTTAGACGTAGTCATCTGACTCGCTCTAGCACACAAGATGGTTTTGCTTGGAGCTCAGAATCTATGGAGGTCCATCTATGATGGGAGTTTTCAACCAAAAAAATCAGGTACCTGACATATAGGGGAAATGATATAATATAGAAGTATATCATAATGGTTGTTGATAGGTCCCTGACGTCAGCAAAAGGGAAACAATTGTTGTTTAGAATTGCAAGAAGAGTAAAACGCGTGAGGGCAAGGAAAGGGCACTTATTCCTTTGTTGTACCCATAGTTGCAGTACAACTGCACAAGGTTAGCATTGGCAACCATTACAAAGCAGCCCCTTTCCAAAGCACCAGTTGCACCTGCAAGCATCCTGATGCATATCCAGTGATGTACATCAAGAGAGCACATGCCCGGCAAAATTTACTTTCTCGCACGATGAGAAACAAGCAGCCAGCAGGTTTGCGGCGGCCATGCCTTAGCCTCGCTATTGCGCTGCTGCTCTCCTTTTCCAGCTCGTGCACCGAGCAGGAGGAGAGACCTCCCTGCTCCGGTCCCTCTCTCCGGGCTCTCGCGGGACGGCGGTCTCGCCCTGTCCTTTACTCTGGCCTCTGCAGGTGCTCAACAACGTCTCCAGCACCTTTTCACCGGTTCTTTTCCCTCCAACACATGAGACAGGGCCACAAACCTGGTCGCGCTCAATGCGAACAAGAAGAAGATGTGATTTTGAGGGTATAAATACCTTAGCACTGCTCCATCCCAGTTCTATATGGTGGAACCAGAGCTGTCAGTGGAAGTGTTTGGTTACCAGGTTCGTTCCAGCTGCTAGAATCAGTACTATGAATAAATCGTCAACGTCAATGATATGAAGGTGTTATCGCTTGAATAGCATCATGTACAAATAAGTAGTGTTTGAGTGTTTGTTATTAATTCCTTTTCCTCGAGACTTGCAGTTTAACTATTTTCAATGGGGAATATCATTATTTTCAAGATATAATTGTGCATGAAAACAATCAAGCATGACAATCTGAGAAGCAATAGGAATTCAGGCAATTTATTATTATTGTACAGCTGTTTCTGCGGGAACTATGAAACGCTGAACCGAACGAATTGTAGAGATCAGCCATCATCGTCAAACATGGCACTCACTAGACAGGGCTCTTAAGCATATATGCACAGAGGGAAAATGGAAAATTGACTGAAAATATACAATGGATGGGACAAATTTCAGTTTATTAAAACTGACATTTGCTTCATGATACGAACAAAGTTGGGGAAGTAATTCTAATCATCTATGTCAATTGGATTCATTCTGACCAAGCACCAGCTGAGTAATCAATCACAAATTCATGACACAACAGGATGCTAGTTGTGTATACTGTTCGTTTACAATGTGCTAGTGACTTGGTGTAATGCTAGCTAGAAAATAAAAACTGGATCTTGAGTAGTGAATGAGTTATACCAGGAACATGGCGGAAGTCTACCTCTGCAGCTTCAGGTGCAAACGACAAGGACAATCTGCCTCTGTACAATTTTTGCTCCTTGTCTTGACAAATCTTCAGGGAGCACAGGACTATGCAAAGGGGAAATTCAAAAGATCCATCTATGCAGGATGTCAGGAAGGGTTGGGAATGAGTCAAAGTGGCTATGTCAACTTTGCATCCAAAGCCTTGATCCATCAAGGCTATCTTGAACTGCCTGAATGCTGCATTCCCTCAGCTCTTTCTATGTCAATTTCCCCCTGCAACATTGCTGCATTCCCTCAGCTCTTTCAATGTCAATTTCCCCCCTGCAACATTACACAAGATTCATTCCTTGAGTTTAAATTAGAAGTAAGGTACAAACAGAATAAGAAAAAATGAATGGAAGAAGAAAATAATATTCCTAAATCACAAAAATAACGATTTGTGGAAGAAATATTTTACTGCACTGAATACAAATATGAGTGTTGCATCAAGAGCTACTGAAAAGAACAAATATTGTACCATTTCACCAGGAACTCTGTTAGGTCCGTTAGCATCTTAGATTCCTTGTCTAATTGGTTCTCTCCTCTTATGCAGAGAATCCATCACGGACCCTTCAGGCTGCTGACCGATTCTATCAGATGGGTCCAGGCTGCTTAGACCCCAGGTATACATGACAAACTTCCGCACCTGTTACCAGCAAAATCAATATGCTTTATTGATCATGGAGACAATCAGAATGATATACTGATCGAATTTGGATCAAGCCATTCTTCACCTTATTCCAATTTCGCTGAGCACGTCGTTTGCTCAGAATTTTCAACATTCTGGTATCCTCGTCATGAAGCTTCTTTATCCTTGCTTCACACTGAAAACACGATGTGTTAATAACACAAGCAGCTGCATAACTTTTATTTTATTTTCTTGCTATGATAAACAGACAGCTCATCGTTATTCCATTGTTTCAGTGCCACAGAATAAGCATAATAATAACCAAATGGACAGTGGACGTGAAGGAACCAAATGAAAGGGCAAAGGGATGCAAAGATGCAGAAATCAAAGTTGAACAATTTAGTTTCATTGGCAAAAAATGAAAAAAAACGTTGGCAAGGTTTTCAGACAACAAAGCCAATTTGGCAAAGACTTACTTGAGCCATGAGGCAGAGACAAATTGCCACACTGAAGGCATAAAGGCCACCAATACTTGCGAGTATACTAACTGCAGATAACTGTCTCCATTAGATGCTACAAATGTAAAATCTGTGCAACGACATTGTTTCATGAGACTCACCTGGGCCTACTACACTCTCATTGCTGATCTCCACAATGTAGTCCGAGAGATAACTTATGTAAAGAGTAGTATTCACCACTCCATCCCTGGGGTTCTGCAGGGACGAATTCAAGCTGCTGACATCAGAAAACGTAGATCCTTGAGTGAAGTCCTGAACCAGTGGCTGCAAGAGCCTCAGGTTACCAGGATTGAATATCTGAGGGAACAACTGGATCTTCAGAACATTGGAATCTCTTCCCCTAAACGTCTCCAACTTGCCATCATCAGCATAACCGTCAGAGTTCATCGTACCACTCACAAAGCTCATGTGTTGGTTGTTGCCATGTTGCCTTGTGGTCAGGTTGAACTGGAAACCAACAGCGGTTGCTGGCTGCCCTGGCAGGTCGACAAATTGCCAAGACACGTAGTGGTCTCTCGGAGGGACCCGGCATCCATTACACCTGAGCGTAATGGATGGCCCCTGGCTCGTGTTTGTGCAGCTGTAGTTGAACAGTGCTGGCAGGGGAACCACCCTGAAGTCCATGAAGCCTGGTGTCCCCATTGCTACCGTCGAAGGAGCAACTGCTTGAGTGCAGGACATGCTGGAGACGGTTGTGATGTGGAACTCGAGATCATTCACGAAAGACAGCAGGTCTGGAGCATTGGCTGGCTTGACTCGATGCATCTCAAGGCTGCGCCTTTTGATGGCTTGATACAAGAGCCTGTAATAATCTGATAATAAGTTAGATATGATAACTAATAAAAGCAAGCAGAGGAACTGATGATTTTTTTTAAAGGTCTATAAGCAGCACTTACACAGTCAATAATCCAGTGAAGATGATCAAGCTAGCGACTGAAAATGTGCCACCCAACTCGGTTTTCCTTTTCCTTAGTACTTGCTGATCCCCCTGGACATTTTCAGGAGCCAAAACAATGTGACTCAGGATAAACTTTTTCAGTTTCCAACATGAGAATGAACATCAATGAATGGAGCAACAATGTATGATCCTGTTGTAGGATGAGTGTTTATAATCTGCTCCGGCAGGATTACAGGGGAGTTTGTGCGTTCAGATTCAGCTGAGAATATTGCAATAACATGTAATAAACTATACAGTCAGAAGGAACAGCAGGGTCATGCATTTGTGTAGTAGGTAGGAAATTCGAGATGTCCAATTGACCAAGCAAGTAAATTTTTTAATAAATTCTAAGACAACAGCCGCGTCATGGAAATGAAGCTATGCAAGTTGGAAGTTTCAGTTAACTTAGGGAGATTGGTAAGGCCCATAAATCATTGAAGAAATCAAAGATAGTGTTGACTGAAACAAATAAAACAGTTCCACGTTGATCAAACTAAAATCACTTGTTTGTTGGTTGCTGGCGTGTAAACTCCAGATTTATATAGTATAAAATGGTTTCATAAAACTCTCAACACAGAGAAACGCATCCATAATTTATTGTAACCTTCCAGTGGCGGAGCCACCGCCTGGCCACCCCGGGCTGCCGGCAGGGCTCATCGCCAATGTTCGAAAGGAAATTTTCTTTATATCAAAGTAGAACCATGTAATTTTCTAGCTAAATATTTTTGTCTAATAGAAATTGCCCGGGCTCCTACAAGCTTCTGGCTCTGCTAATGTAACCTTCTGATGCCAATAATATTGCAACTAGTCACCTAGTGAAGACACGTGGATCTATAAACCTTGCAAAATCCAAACTACAAAACTTAGACCTTGTTTGGATGCATGTGTATCCACCTCAATCCATATGTGTTGAAGTGGAATGGAATGGAATTTAGTTTAATTCTACTCCAATCCACCTCAACACACGTGGATTGAGATGAATACATGTGCATCCAAACAAGGCCTTACTCGAAATACAATGCAATTCCTAAGCGCATTGATTCGTTTCTGGTTAAATTTGTACAGAATCGGCATGAAATTAGCACAGCAAACAAGAGGAATAGGGAACGGACCGTCCAGTGGCTGTTGTCGAAGAGGCAGTCGAGGCGGCTGACCCAGTACCGGGCCCGGAACATCCTCTTCTCCCCGCGGGGATCCCGGCCGGCGAACCTGGCCGCGGCGCAGAAGGCGAGCCAGCAGAGGAGTGACGCGAGGGTCGCCTCGAGGATCACGGCCTGGGACTGGGTGAGGCGGCGGATGGCGTAGATCGAGACCACCGGCTCCAGGAAGTAGAGGCTGTGGTTCCGCGGCGCGCCCACGGAGCCCACCTGCCAGTCTCCCCACCCGCCGCCCGGCATCGGGGCGCAGCTGGCGGTGCCGTTGCCGCTGAGGTAGTAGTAGTACCCCGGATCGCAGGCGCAGAGGGTGGCGTTGTACGCGAACATGCGCGCCGCCGCACAGGCCGCCATGGCTGTGGGTGATCGATCCCTCTCCCTGGTAGTGGTAGACCAGACCACCAGCTGCCGAAGCTGCGCTGCAGAGAAGAGAGCTTCGTTGGGCTCTCTTCAGGGTTTAATTAGGCAGCTTTGCTTGCTTGCTTACTCAGCTCAATGAAGAGGAGCTGTGTTTTAAGCTTCCACCTCACTATTTTTTTAGTTGAAAAACAACCTTCTTTACCCTTTCTGGCGAAAATCATGTGCCGAAAAGAGAGAGGCAGAGCAAAGTAGACATGTGTGTTGGATACTTGGATCCCTCATCTCTTGATGTCACTGTCAGTCAGTCAGCAGCTGATTTCCTTGGCTGCCTGGGGAAAGGCTTCAGCATCTCAGCTTCCTTTTTAATATGATTATTGATATCGATAGTTGATTACAAACAATCCATTCGGGTCAAGTCTTAACTCTTAAGCATTGTCATTCCTGTAGGTGAATGATTGAGCAGAGTAGCTCTAGCAGACCCTCACTGCAATGTGCAATTCAGCGAGAAATTTCAAAGGAATTCCATTGAATTCAGCTGGGTCTCCTTTTCTGCTCAGATACAATGGTGAACTAGTACCAAGTAACCAACGAATAATGGTACTGTAGTAGTTAGCTGTAGCATTCAAACTTAAATTCAAAGTCACGACGGAGTAAAAGAAAAGAACGAACGGAACGAACATCAGCAGCCATCCCGGCCCTTGGGGTCCACGTGCTGTCAAATAATTGAATTTGAGTCGGGATTTTACTGTAGACACACCTCTATCACAGGCAGATTGACAGCGACGGTCACTAGGATTTGCATTGTACCGGCATTCCTCTAGCTAGGAGCCTGTTTGGTTGCTAGTCACATTTCACTTTAGCCCCCCATTTGGTGCTGCTCTGAGGTTGATGGGTGTATGTATATGGAACACACGACTGCAACTTGTATGGCCTGATTTTCATAACAGAGCATAAGTAAACTTGATAAATATCATTGCATGACCTGATGAAGAGGTAGCGCACCACGAGATCTTGCACCCGCGACGAACTGCCGAGACATCCATCCTTCCATGCACCGACAAAACCAGTCCACGCAATCACGCCATATAGACATGAAGGCACGAAATGGATGAACTAAAGTTCGGTGTTCTACAACCCCCTCAGGAGTCGAAAGAACGAATGTTGCAAAGCACTCATGCCTTACCAAAGATTATAAATATTCTTTCCATGAGAGGAGAAAAACACACACAAGGTGGTTGTATGTTAACCAAAAGAGAGACTTATATAGAAGGATTACATGGGTATTTATACAATGACGAAAAGTATGCGAAAAGTTGACACTTAATCTGAGTGCTAACCACCATACCAAAGGTTCTCTTTACTTTTGGCTAACTGAAGTGGGAACTCAAGCAATCTCTTCAATTCTCGCGCAGGTGCTGGGCTGCATGTGTACCTTCCACTAAAACGATCATAACTCTTAGCTCGGAAGTCCAAAAGATACACCGTTTGTTGCGTTGGAAACTAGACTTCAATATCTTTCTGTTGATATGGAATAAGGATGCAGAAACGTGGCCCAGTTTTGCAGGTATAGCTGTAACAAACTGTTGAATCATAGTTGAGGTTGAGTTATCCTTGTCCACATCATTCTCTCTCCCTTCGAAACGAGTCGTCCTCGACTCGTGCTCGTAGCATCAACATTGGACGAACATTATTGGAAACATGACTCAAGAAAGAACAAAAAAAACAAGACTTGACGACGCAATATAACTACAAACTCGAGAGCAAACTGAGAACGACTCCATATAGTGAGAACCAAACCATCGAATTGACCCGACGCAATGAGAGGAAACCAATATTTAAATCTCTCAAGGCACCCTATCAGCATTCTGACTTGACTCAACACTATCTAGGAATTGAATACCAATCTGCGAAGGAAGCTTGTAAGGATAATCAGCTCACACCATGACAACAAAGGCTCTGAATACCAAATGATGTGTGTACGTGTATGGAACACACGACTGCAACTTAAATGGCCTGATCTTCATAGTAGAGCATAAGTAAACTTGATAACTATCGCTGCATGACCTGATGGAGAGGTAGCGCACCACGAGATCTTGCACCCGCGACGAACTGCCGAGACATCCACCCTTCCATGTGCCGACAAAACCAGTCCACGTAATCACGCCATATAGACATGAAGGCACGAAATGGATGAACTGAAGTTCGATGTTCTACAACCCCCTCAGGAGTCGAAAGAACGAATGTTGCAAAGCACTCATGCCTTACCAAAGATTCCAAATATTCTCTCTATGAGAGGAGAAAAACACACACAAGGTGGCTGTATGTTAACCAAAAGAGAGTCTTATATAGAAGGATTACATGGGTATTTATACAATGATGAAAAGTATGCGAAAAGTTGACATTTAATCTGGGTGCTAACCACCATACCAAAGGTCCTCTTTACTTTTGGCTAACTGAAGTGGGAACTCAAGCAATCTCTTCAATTCTCGCACAGGTGCTGGGCTGCATGTGCACCTTCCACTAAAACGATCATAACTCTTAGCTCGGAAGTCCAAAAGATGCACCGTTTGTTGCGTTGGAAACTAGACTTCAATATCTTTCTGTTGATATGGAATAAGGATGCAGAAACGTGGCCCAGTTTTGCAGGTATAGCTGTAACAAACTGTTGAATCATAGTTGAGGTTGAGTTATCCTTGTCCACATCAGAGGTGCTTCGGCTCCCAACATACCGTGCATCAATGTTTTTTACTGAAGAAAACAGCTCCTGCACCTCCAAAAAATAACTAGAAAGAGGAGAAGCCGGAGGAGCCACATATTTGGGGCTTCCCTTGGCTCCACCACAGTACTGCTACAGTGGAGCAGCCGGAGCCGAGAGAAGATCCTCCAAATAGGCTCTTAGGCAAGTTTGATCAAATTGGAGTGTTTGGTTGGCGACTAAACTTAGGCAAAAATTTTTGGGCTCCACTAAAGATGGCCAACGGGCTGACCTAGCCCGGCATAGCACGGGCCCGTGCCAGCACGGTTCGATAGCCAACGGACCGGCATGGCACGCCGTGCCTCCCGGGCCGTGCCTCACAGGGCCACAGGCCTGGCCTTCGGCCCAGGCACGACCCTATGGGCCGATTTTCGTGCCGGGCCGACCCGAGAAGCACGGCCATTTTCACAGGCCGTGCCAGCCCGAGGCCCACTGAGTGTCGACATAGAGAGAGGAGGGAGGAGAGGGTAGGCCGGGTCACCAGGAGTAGGCAGGGTTGCCGGGACGCATGGGTCGTGGAGGAGTGGCGGGGGCTCGAGGCCAGCCACCGAGCGGGGGCCTTGGGGGAGGAGGGCGGTTGTCGGCGTGCTCAAGGCCGGCGTGTGCGCCGCGGCCGCGTGGGGAGGCGAGGAAGAGGTGGCCGCCGGGGCTGGGAGCGGCGGAGCTCCGAATCTCGGGGGCAGGAGCTGCGCAGGAGGCGCCCTCCCTCAAGCGATGGAGAGGAGATGAAGAGGGGGTGAGCGAGATGGAGGAGAGAAAACAAGGAAGGGAGGGAGTCACCGGATCTGCTCGCACACGCGCTCCTAGCCGTGCGTCGACGAGGGAGAGTGAGGGAGGGAGGGAGGCAGGGACGGGGAGGAGGCGCCACGCCAGCGTCGAGGCAAGGGTGGGGAGCCGGATCCACGGTGGAGAAGACCCAGCATGGACAGATCCACAGCGGAGAAGATCCAGCGCCGCCGCGGAGGCAAGGGATAGTGAGGAGGACGACGGGCGTCGCAAATCTGGTGGAGGCGGGATCGAGGAAGGAGGCAGCACGAGGCCAGAGATGGCAGTGGCCGCCGCCCGCCAGCGAGCTTGTCTTGGCACCGGATCTGCGTCGGGACGGAGCTCGGGGCCGACGCGCTCGCTCCCGTAGTGGCGTCGCTCGAGGAGAGGGAGGGGCAGGGGGTGTCGGCGTCCACGCTTGGGCGTCGGCGCTGCGAGGAGAGGAGAGGTCGCGCGAGGAGCCGAGGACGCCGAGGAGAGGGAGGAGGCATCCTGGACTCCCGGCCCCACGTCCGCTCTCGCCTCGCCTAACGCGAGGGAAGGGGAGGGGGTGTCCCCGTCGCCAGCGCAGAGATGAGGAGGAGCGAGTGCGACACTGCGGCTGCGGCGTGGGGAGGGACTACGTCTGCGTGGGGGAGTAGAAGGGAAAGGGAGCTAGGGTTCTAGGAGTGGGCCGATGGGGCACTGGGAGAGTTGGGGGTGGTGGCTGGGGCTTAGCAGGCCGGCTGGCCGGCCAGCTACCGGGCCGCGCTCTATGGACCGGGGCATGCCATGTTAGCCCACGTGCCTAGGGTAAGGCCCAGGCACGGCCTGCTCCCTCGGGCCGGGCCAGCCCGGGCCCGCTGACCATCGGGTCGTGCCGTGCTTGGTCCGAGCCAAAATTGCGTGCTTCGTGTCGGGCCGCCGTGCCTCGGGCTGCATGCACATTTATAGGCTCCACATGTCAATACAAAAATGTGACAACATCCCGTAGACATGATAAAGTGTGGATTCCAATTTGCTAGCCACACTTGGCTAAGGTTAGTTGTGGCATATTATGGCCAGAACCAAACAACCACCTAATAAGCAAGATTGTTTGGATCGAAAAAATAGGTAGAATAACCGATCATTAGATTCTAAAAAATATATAATTTTGTACAAGATTTATAATATGTTGTAAAGATTGAAACCTATGATATTAATTATTATTATAATAATTAGCTTTTTTAAACTTAAGTGGACTTATTAACTTTAAATAATACTGTCACATCACAATCATTTGAAAAGCCGTTTATATTAATATTAATTATATCATGTAGGATGGTAGGATTATATTATGTAGGATCGTAGATTCTATAGAAGATCCAACCAATATCATGGAATCATATGGAACTCAATTATAGTATTAGGACAGGGATAATATAATATAAAATTTAAAATACATGATAAGATCATTATCGTTTTGGTTTGGTATTATGGTATCCTAAGCTTCTAGGATCCAGATAGGGATCTTAACAACCTTCAACCTTGGAAATAAGTACAACATAGTGGTCTTAATTAACCAGTCAAATTTACATACAAAACATGAAAACAATCAACTCACCCGGCATGGCAACACCAAGCTCATTATTTACCTACACTTCTGGAGGGAAAAAAAATCTTGCTCCACCTCTGCAAATCTCCCGCTTTTGGGAGTTGCATCAAACCACAAGAGTGTAACCAAATCAAGAATCAGAGTTCTCAAAAAATAATCTAACATCTGCCTCCCACATTCCGGGGAAAGAAAAAAAATCGGCAAAATCTGCTTATAAGATGTTACTCCACCTCAGCAAATCTCCCATTATTTTTGCTCTCAAAACAAATCAAGAATCAGAGTTCTTTCAAATAATCTTATCACATCATTCAACAGGTTTCATGTCCATTGTAGCAGTGTCCCCCTATTGACATCAATAGACAACTTAGGTGGGGGTTGAATCATCATGACCAAAGGGCAAAGCATGCCAACAAAATCAGGAGAGAAACTGTTTTTCCCCACTGTGGAACTGGGGCAGCTTCTGAGTATTGGAATCTATGTGATTGTTCTCTGCAGAGAAAGAAAAAAATCAAGGCCATGTTCTATATAAGAACAGGTAGAAATAAGTAAACTTGTGCTTGTGGTGCAAACTTTATAGCATGTACAAAGTCACAGGAAGCTCACTTCTGTAGGCTTGAGAGTGCACCACAGAAAATTGCGTTATCCGGAAGAGTGCTGCTGTTGTCCTCTGGGTTAACCACATTTATGTACACTTCTTGACCCAAGTACCAGGTGTCAAGGTTCTGAACACGCAAGTTCCATATGCCTGCATTGTCCAGAAACACAAGAATAGCTGTCCAAGCTCCAGGGAATACCTGCAATCAAGTAGACACAGTCTCAATCAAAGGCATGCCAAGCTAAGGATTGTACAACAACCCAATAATGCATCACAAAGTGGATAGTACAAGCAATATTTACAGTGTTTAACTGTTAATTATAGATTACAGAACAATGAACACCGATTCTTCCCCGAAGCAAAAATTAAGTCTGTTTAGGTCACGTTTTGGTCCCTTTCTGTTCTAGTTATGGGCGTGTTTGTACTCTAAGACAGAAGGCAGTGTATGTGTGTGCTCTCTGGGTTCTACCCTTCTCTTCTTCTTTAATACAAAGACAAACAACTATCCTACGTGTTCGAGAACGGAAATTGCTAGAGCAAACAAACTGATTAACTATCTAAGTTCATCTCATAGACTTATCCTTATTGAAATAGCATTAAACTAAAAACACCAAATAATTTATTTTAACCACTACAGGATATATATATTTTTGTCAGTCAGACATATGCAAATAATTTAGTTGCGTGTAGCTGCTACCTGCCATTCCAACTAATATTGGAATAATAACTAAAAGATGGGCTGTTTTAAGTTGTGGCATATGCGCTTAATATTTAAGCATGTTTACTGATCATACTGCAACTAATGCAATGGTTAACTTGGATGTCTATAAAGACTATGAGACAGTGAATTTCAGCACCTGGATTGTAGAGCGTGCAACACCATCCCATTTGTTATAGGTGCCGCGACTATTTTCTGTCCATAAACCATAGTCCATCCTGAGAGAAAACAACCATCAGATTGAGAATCCAAGCAGATATGGATAAAGAAGAGGAGTGTGGCTTCTGCATTACCCAACAACAAAGAATGCATAGCCATCCAAGTGGTAGCTCTGCACATTTGTGGCATTATTTTGGAATATAATCTCCATGAAGCCCTTATAGGTGCCATTTATAATAGATGTGTCAACTATTGGTAGTCGGTTCATAGGATGATTAGGAAAATCCAATTTGAAGACTCCAGGGACATTAAATATTTGTGCAAGTACCAAAGGGGTTGAGGGCGCAATGTAAGAAATCTCATTGAGAGTAGAGCGCAGTTTTCCATCTATGAGCTCAGGTACTCTACTCTGCAACACGTACACATCTGTCACAGTAATGTCACCATAATGGAATGAGCCCTGTGGATTGGGGCGGGCACCGCTAGCTGTAACATTCCATCTGAAAAAGGGCAATGGTTGAAGGATGCATTATATGTGAGCAACGCCATCTACAATGCATGGGCTAGGAATAATGCAAAATCAATAGGAAATACCTGATGGATCTTGCTTGGTTTATAGAGAACGCCGTGTCATACTGATCGTTCGGGGGATCTGGAAGAGGACCAGAGGCTGGACCCTGGGAGTTAGAGTAATGGAGAATAGCCACGCCAGTCAACTTATCCACAACAGCTGCATCAACGAAGTGTGCGCTTGCAACAACATAGTAATCAGTGCTGGCATTTTGGTCCATGGTGACCAAGAAGGAGTAGGACTGGCCAACATGGATGTCCAGGTTGGTGTAGTTCTGCTGCGAGGTGTAGGAGCCTTCGGTCTCAACAAGGAGCAGGTTGTGGTTCTGGATCCTGAAATTGAGGCTTGTTGAGACCCCAACATTGTGTACCCGAAACCTGTAAGTTTTCCCTGAAATGACAATCCCCATGACAATACTATTGGTTTCATCCCCTCTCCATCTAATAGTCTAGCAAATGAAAATTTCAAATTGCAATGCAAACCTGGCTCGACATTGATTCTCTCATAGACAATCCCTGGTGGAATCATGGATTCGTTGTACTGATAGGGTCCCAATCCATTGATGAGCACACCGTCAGGGGCGCCCAGCAGGGTGCCGCCGTCCAGCGCTCTCCTGAGCTCCTTGTGCCCACGGTTATACCAGTCACCAATGAAGAGCGTGATGTCCCCGTCGGGGAAGCCGAAGGGGATGGGTATGACGTCGCGGTTGTTGATGGTGATGGCGCCGTAGCCCCCGGCGGCGCGGTGCAGCGGCGTGGAGGGGAAGTAGAAGAAGCTGCCGACCTGGTCCTTGACCTGGAACGTGTAGGTCCAGTTCCAGCCGGCGGGGATGGCGCAGTTGGTGCCGAGCACGCCGTCCTGCCACGCCGTCTTGCGCTGCTGCACGCCGTTCCAGGTGAGCAGCAGCGGCTCGTCCAGCGCGTTGCGGACGTTCACCACCACGTTCCAGTTGGTGGTCACGTTCAGGGGAGGGCCCGGGAACTGGCCGTTGATGCCAATCACCTGGTGCCCCTGCCAATGTCAGTGTCGATGCCCCTGCTGCAGGAATGCAAAGGGAGAGGGAAGGGAGGGGAGGGACTGGCTGGGCGGCACCTTCTGCTTGACGCCGAGGGGTTGCGCGGAGACGTAGGAGACCTCCCAGTCGTAGTAGGCGTACGGGTCCCCCGCCCGCGCCGGCGCCGGCGCCAGCGTCGCAGCCAACAGGAGCAGCAAGAGCAGCGGTGGCATTGGCGACCGGAACTCGGTCGGTCCCGGCGGCTCTGTCAATCTCGTCCTCAGGATTCGAATCGCAGGCTCGTGGCCAAGCCTCAGCAGCTGTCGGGCGCTCGAATCCGGCGAACGCCAGTCGAATCAGTTGGAAGCGGAAGCCAACCCGACACGAGGAGATCGGGGAGAGGCGGAGAGCGGCAAGCAGAGCACAGCAGAGGGAAAAGTGTGGGAGGGGAGGCGGCGGAAAAGAAGCTGCTGGTCGGCGTGTCCTTCGGCCTTTCCCCGCATTCTCCGCTCCGGATCCACACTGGAAAGAACAACGTTCGAGTTGCCCTTTTCCGCTCGGACTCAGCCCAGTCTAATGGTGGGCTGGGCCCACTTGTGAAGGCCCTTCATTTTCTTCTAGTCCGTAATACGAACGAATTGGACTCGCTCCATTTGCGACTGCTCGTCACTCCCTCAAGGAAAAAAATCTATTTTACCTACGTCAACCGGAGACGTGACCCAATGGCTGTATTCCCTCGGTGCTTTTTTCTTTTCCTTTTAAGTTTATTTCAGCTAAATCTTTGAAACATGATAGTAAACCCAAAAAAAAATCATAAAATAGAAAGTCCAATTTTGTTGGACACATGAGTGGATCTACACAGTGAACATATAATATGGTATGCTTTGTTGCAAAGTTTTGGTTGTAGTTTTAAATCTATGATTTTCTATAATTATTTTATAGATACAGTTTGTGTGGTCCAATTGTGGTAAAAATTTTATGGTCCACATTTGGACCAATTTCTTACGATCTAAAACTATAGCAAAAACTTTGTACTAAAAGCATAGGATACCATATATTCACTGCGTAGATCTACTCATGTAAAGTCCAACAAAACTGAATTTTCTATTTTATGATTTACTACGACTTTTCAAAGATTAAGCTGAAATAAGCACAAAAGAAAAAAGAGAAAAAACACTGAGGGAAACTGTCGGCGCAAAAACGTGTCGATGCGCCGAGCATACACCAAGCCGGAAGGATCTGCTTAGGATGAGCCCAGAGATACGCTTGGCTTCAATCGCAAAGCTAGCCGACCCTGCGAATTCCTTTCGAGGCGTGCCTATCAATTTGACCTGCAATTGACAAGGAGAGAAAGTTTATCAGTAATTTAAGGTGAAACATGCCGGTTTTGCCCAGACAGTTCAAAGTGTGCCGCTTCGGGAGCAGCCAGACGGAAAAAATCGACTAAACGGCCGATACGTGAAGAAATCGGCTGTTACGTACTGTAAAGCTCGTGGATCATGATTGATTTTATGTTGACAAGTACAATACACGTAGATTTGAGTAAAATCATCAGTTAGGTGAGTATTACCAGTGTAGAACGATGAATCTAACGAGAAAGGATATAACATGCGAATAAATCGACTGTTTAGTACAAATGGATCTACAAACGTTCTGAATCTAATATGTTACCATCAACAGTGAGGTTCGACCGGATCGATGGCAGCTATGATGATAATAACAAACCAAAACTAAAGAATCCATAAAATCATCTATACATTGACAGGCTTTCCGAAAGACATGCTATATGCGTGAAAGCTCAAGCGAATCGGATAAAATAGCCGATTCAGGTGGAAAAATGACTACAACATGTGAACAATCGACTATTTAACATGGACAAATCTATGAACTCATCAGACTTAACTTGCTATCTCTAACAGTGAGGTTCGACCGGATCGATGGCAGCCGTGATAAAGATAACAAATCAAACCTTCAAAGTAAACATATATATTCACATTTAACAGAATTATGAAGACACACTGTAGGCGTTAAAGCATAGGCGATCGGTTATTTAGTCGATATAGGCATAGCAAACAATTAAGGTCACGCCTGATCGAGAACAAATCTATCAACTAGCATCTTCCGATCTAAAGTGCCATCAGTAGAAATCGACCGGATCGTTGCAGCCATAACAATGAACTATAGACCATATTTAACCAGCCAACAAAACCTCCTCAAGATAGGACATGCCTTAACCGCGTACTATGCACGATCAAGATCGAAATAGAACAGCCAATGAAACATAACACATCGCTCAAAGTAAGAAACACCGTATTGTAATAAAGCAAACGACGGACTAAAAGATGTAAAGTCGATCTAGATCGATCTCGACCGGGCAGGTTGATGTTGCTGAAAATTAATGACAATAAGAACATCAACAAGATCGATAACTTAATGAATCTATCCAAAGATGCCACTCTTAGGTAGAGCCGATAACTTAACCTTAATCTAATTCGAGCAGTGGAGGTCGAACTTAACCGATGCAGCCATACTTGAACTAGATAAAAGTCGATAACTAGCTTATACTAGAGTTCGCAGTGGAGGTCGAACTTAACTGATGTAGACGTACAAACAGAAGTATAAGCCATGACGGTACTTACAGACAAACCGGAGGTCGGCCGGACTGATACAGCCCTGCTTGTTGAAGAACTCGCCGAGATCTACACTACTACTCCTAAGGGTTGGTGTAAAGCCAAAAAAAGTAACTTGTATTGATTGATTGGATGTCTTTTTACAATAGCCGGGGTCCAATATTTATACTCGGAGCCTAAGCATGAATCCTACTCAAGTACGACTCATTACAATCTTTGGTATAAAAGAAAACATTTCTATCTTAAGATAACTTGGACCCTAATCTTTCCCTTTTTTAGAGTCCGACATGTATTTCCTAATGCCAACCATAGCTCATTGTCGTTATTTGCTGACATCATTCGAAGAGAGCCGATTCTAGTGCCACATCTGAATCAGATGATATCGATTCTTATGCAATCGATTCATTGATTGACACGATCTTGAAAGCTTCGAGTTCCCGCGTTCTTCTTTCCAAATTTTGATGTAAACATATGCCCCCCAATTTTTGGATAAAAATGATTTTATTCTAAAATTCCTATTTACCTGTTTACCACGTCGCAACCGTTTTATTTCGAGATATACGCGTGACTCCGAACTTCTCGGTCCGAGTCTTATATAATACCCTAACCGTATCTTTTCCTACTTACTCAGCCCATTTGCTTTTCCTTTCTTTCTCGAGCAAATCTTAACAACCAAAGCCGCCATCGTCAAGGCCTCAACCCTAGCAAATCTTCTGCTTCATCAAGCTATTCTTCAAGCAACCCTTCCTAGATTTATATCTATTTTGGCTGCAATGGCGACCAGCGACCACGTCCCTGAGGTATGCTTCCAAGTTCCCGCTTTCCAAGTATCAGCCGCTACCCTGCACTTCCTTTCTTCTCAAATTTATTTAATCTGATTTCTAGGAAATGAGGAATGACATCTTGATTCTATCGACTGTTGCTCCCAATGTCTATTTTCTTGGACCTATGGGTGACCCTGATCCATCTGATTTTGTCCGTCAAGAAACCAACTAAATCTCCTTTAAACAATCTATAGTGATTTGTCCTCCTGAAACACCAAAACTCCCTTCAGAAACTGGTCCAAAATGGCTAGAGAATGGAGAGACTGGTTTCGTAGGGTATCCGATAAAAAGGCTAGAGATTGGAAAGTTTATGACTTGAATCAATGCTTGACACTCTTGTTGTCTAAGATGGAGCAGAACGATTCACTCCTGATTTCTGCATCTTATTTATGGTCTAACACCCTAAATGCTTTTGTTTTTTGTCACGGCCCAATGACCGTCACTTTGGTCGATGTTTATATGTTGACCGGCCTTAAAATAACATGATCAATGCAATCTTATGACTTTTTAAGTGCCAAATCCAAATTAGCCAAAATATCAGACTGCACAGGATGGACAAGCTACATTCTGAACCATATTGGAGATGGGTTAATTGTTAGCGAAAGAGAATATATAGCCTTCCTAAATATGTGGTTAGAAAGATTCATCTTCTGTGGATCATCTTGTGGTCCAACTTACAATCATAAACTCATGGCAGAGCATCTGGCATTAGGCGCTGAAATTCCTCTTAGCAAATATCTGTTGGGATCAGCTTACCATTTGATGCATCAGATGACCGCTCAACTGCTGAAGAACGAAGCAGTGCACACCATCAGCGGTCCTTGGTGGCTAATACAAATGTGGTTAAACTTGTATATGCATAAGATGGTAAGGCCAAATCTCCAGAATTTGAGTTTCCCTTCCTTCAACTTTGATGAGGAATACAGAGGCAAAGAAGAAAGAACCCGTCAGTGCATGAACTATGGTGAAGAACATCAGGCTATTTATACTAGTAGCTATCACACACACTTGCGTTAATGAAAAACTGCTAAAATTAAGATACAAGATGGCTTCAGTAAACTACTGCTGAGCGTGCTCGACGTGAGCACGGTCACCAGGCTCCAACTACTCCGGTCACTGTCGCCACCATTCAAATTCAAATCTGCTACTCCCACTTAACCAGCTATCCTGCAGCTTCAGTACAGTGAGCAACAGGCTTACACGAACAATCTCCCCCTTAAGCCTGATGCTCATTAAGTTCTCGAACCCCCAGTAAATGCCTCATGACTCCAAGCTTCATTGCTGGCAAAACTTTTGTTAATGAGTCTACCTTCTGCTCTGTGGTACAAACTCTCTTCACCAAGATTTGCCCACGATCAACACACTCTCTGATGAAGTGGTATTTCATATCAATGTGCTTACTGCGACCATGGAACACTGGAATCTTTATCAGAGCAATGGCTGAGTTGTTGTCTACATACAGTGTCATTGTCCTTGGCTGTGTAGCAGTCAATTCACTCAATAGAGTCCTCAGCCACAATGCTTGTTTTGCTGTTGCTGTTGCAGCCATAAATTCTGCTTCACATGATGACAGTGCTACTATCTTCTCCTTGTGAGAGCACCAAGTCACCAGACTTTCACCAATATAAAAAGCCATCCCACCAGTGCTTCTTCTCCCCATAAGGTCACCACCAACATCACTATCAGTGTAGCCCACTAACAGTTCTGTACTTCCCCCTTAGGTATAAACCACCCCAAAGTTACTGTTCCTTTCAAATATCTCATTATCTGCTTGCCAATCTTCATATGTTTGATTGTTGGCTTCTCCATGAACCTGCTTGCCATGCCAACTAAGAATAAGAGATCAGGTCTTGTGTGCAACAAGTACCTAAGGCAACCTATTACACTTCTGTATTCTGTTGCATCAACTCTCACTCCCTGCTTATTTGCATCTAACTTTACTCCTAGGTCCATTGGAACTCTAGTTGGATTATAATCAGTCATCCCAAACTATGCCAATACCTTCTTAGCATAACTGGTTTGCTTAATTGTGATACAATCCTCTTGCTGCTCCACCTCAATTCCAAGATAGAATGATAGTAACCCCAAATCACTCATCTCAAACTGTGAAGTCATCTGCTTCTTGAAATTTGCAATCTCTATTGCATTTTCTCTTATCACAATTAAATCATCAACATATACTCTAAGCGCTACTACACCAGTTCCAATTCCCCTCTTGTAAACAGCTGGCTCACTTGCACACTTACTGAGCCCTAGCCCCTTCAAACACCTGTCAAGCTTCACATTCTAGGCTCTTGGTGCCTGTCTAAGACCATACAAGGCCTTGCTTAGCTTTAGAACCATCTATTCCTTTCCTTTCTCCACATAGCCTTTAGGTTGAGCTACATACACCTCCTCTTCCAATTCTCCATTGAGAAAAGCAGATTTGACATCAAGATGATGAACTTGCCAACCTCTGTTTGCTGCTAGAGCCAAGATCAATCTGATTGTATCCAATCTAGCCACTGATGCAAACACTTCTTCAAAGTCAACACCTTGTTTCTGTACATAGCCCTTAGCCACCAATCTGGCTTTGTGTTTCACAACTTCACCATCAGAATTCCTCTTGAGCTTGTAAACCCATTTCATCCCAATTGGTTTCTATCCTGGTGGCAAAGTAGCTAATTCCCATGTTCCATTCTTGCAGATAGACTGAATTTCACTATCCATGGCTTCCACCTAGTCTGGATCCCCAACTGCATCCCTGAAACATGCTGGCTCTTCCATCACTTCAAGCAGTGCATCCACATCCACATCTGACTCTAACTCAATTTCTGATGTGCCTTGATAAACATCCGGCAGGCTTCTGAATCTCTATGGCTCATCCTCTAGATCATCATTGTCATCTAGATCCATTGCTACTTGATTCCACCATGAACCCTGAGCTGAATTCTGTGGTGTTGCACTCTGTACTGTTGTTGTCGGACTATGAACAGTCACTGGCCGATTCTCGGTAGCAGCTGATTTAGAGCCACCTACTGCCACTGAATGTTGTCCACCACTAGAAGCTCCCCATGAATCACCTGTCTGATGATCACCTTGTGCATTGCCATCATCAACATCTGTTGCAATGGCATGAGGAAAGAATTGACCTCTCACCCTCAACTATTTCTAAAAAATCTTGAACTTTTGCAGCATCCTAGCTCCATATCTCTATCTCCTCAAACACAACATCCCTGTAACCATAATTTTGTTGCTTTGAGGGTTGAACATCCTGTGAGCTTTATTGCCTTCTTTTATGCCAAAATAAAACCATTGGCATACTTCTATCATCAAGTTTTTTAAATGTGACACTCTTGGTCTGACATGGTCCTTGCACCCAAAAATCCTCAAGTGTCCAAGATGTGGCTTCCTGCCATTCCATGCCTCATATGGAGTTCTGTCACCCATTGCCTTAGTTGGTAACTTATTCAACAAATATACTGAATGCCTGACTGCTTCTACCCAAAACCTTCCAGGAATCTTCATGCTTTTCAACAAAGCTCTTGCCATTTCCATAATTGTCCTGTTCTTCCTCTCCATAACTCCATTTTGTTGTGGTGAGTATGGAGCTGTGAGCTGTCTCCTGATTCCAGCTTCATCACACACTCCCTGAAACACACCGGCTAAGAACTCTCCTCCTCTATTTGATCTTAGTACCTTGATCTGGTGTCCACAACTATTTTCTGCCTGAGCTTTGAACTTGACAAAGGCATCCACTGCTTGATCCTTGGATTTCAGCATAAACACAGTGCTCCACCTTGTGCAATCATCTATTAACAACATAAAATATTTGTTTCCACCTGCAGTGGCTGGTGTGATAGGCCCACACAAGTCTACATGCACCAATTCTAGAGGATCATCTGCTCTCCAATGTGTTGAGTGTGGAAAAGGTGCTCTAGTCTGCTTTGTAGCCAAGCAAGACTGACATACTTGATCAGGGTTCTGAACCAGTGGTACACCACCTACCATCTCCTTGTCAACCAGTTTTCTCAGAGCCTAAAAATTCACATGACCCAACCTGCCATGCCAAAGCCAACCCTAGTCTCCCAAACTAGCCAACAAACAAGTAGGATCAACAGTTTTTAACTCTATCTTGTATAGTCTGTTTGCTGTTCTTTGCACACACATGATCAATCTAGGTGGGTATTTCTCTGAAACTATGATTTCATCATCATCTATCACAACTAAATGACCAATCTCAGTCAATTGTCCAAGACTAATGAGATTAGTTCTAAGTTTTGGTATGAAATAAACATCTCTAAGTACCCACTGATCCCTAGTTCTCCCCTAAAACAAGATGGTCCCTTTTCCCTGAATCTCAACACCTGAGCCATCCCCAATCAGCACCTTACTAGTGAATGTTTGGTCGATCTCCTTGAATTTCAGCCAATCTCCAGTCATGTGGTTACTGGCACCATTGTCCAGGTACTAGATCTCACCAGTGGGATCCTCATCGCCGATGAAGTGAAGCTCCGGCAGCACCTTGTCCTCATTCAGAGTAACTCCCCTCTGAATCTCTTGTGTCACGCACTCAAGTAGTCCTAGCTCCTCCGTTTATGCAAGTAGCACCGATGGCTCAACCTCCACCGCCTTGACATGGTGCGCCTCCTCATCCTCCTTCTCTCTCGGACATCGATTTGCATAGTGCCCATAGCGATGGTACTTGAAGCACTGGAATGGCTCGTCTCATTTGCCATTCCCAACACCCTCCTTTGCCTGATCAGCTTGCCTACCATGACCTCCTCGACCACCACCATGGCCATGCCCACTACCGTGGCCGCCACCGTCTCTGCTCCTCCCGGATGCCTCGCCGACCGCCCGCTTCTGCCGAGCTTCCCACTCAGCCTGAGTCAGCAACACCTAACCACTATCTGATTTAGCACCAACTGCTCTCCGCTTGGTGCGCCCTTCATACGCCTTCAACCGCCCCACTGCTTCCTCGAACACCAACTTCTTCATATTGTAAAATTGTTCGATCCCGTCGACCATGTTGATGAAGCACTCTGGCACGGTGTCGAAGAGCTTCTTCACTAGTGCGGCATCATCCAACGAACCGCCTAGATTCCCATACCTCACTGACATCCCGTCAGTCTCCCGGTATAAGCATCGATTGACTTGTCCTCCTTCATCCTCATCGCGTCGAACTCACTCTTCAATGTCTGCAGCCGCGCGTCCTTGACGCGCTCCTCACCGACGAATCTCGCCTTCAATGAATCCCAGACCTCCTTCCCGGTCTTCTTCGCCGCGACTTGCATCAGCAGATCATCGGGCAAGCACTGAAGCAAGTGCGCCCGCGCCTTCTTGTCTTTCGCCTTTGCCGCCGCCGCCGCGCCCTGCTCCGACGTCTCCCCCGACGGCTCCATGATCTCCCATACTCCCTGGTCCTCCATGATCGCCTGGACACGAATGCTCCAACTGGTGTAGTTGGTTGTCGTCAATGATGGGTAAGTGATCTGCCCACCACCATTGCCACCGCCACCACCGCCACCACTGCCTCGGTCACCCATGGTGTGAATCAAGAGAGTAAATGCGTGTGATTAGTGGCTCTGATAGCAAATGTTAGAATCAAGGATCACAGTCACAGCACAAATATCGCGGTGGCTAGCCTAGATCACAAGAATTGCGCAAGAACACGATGAACACAATGAGTACACACACGGCAACTGTCAGAGGACAGTGCTATTTTGCACAGATGTAAAGTTGCAGTACAGGCATGGTTACAATGTTTCAGAGGCGCTAACACACTCTCTAAACATCAGGCTACTTATACCAGTAGCTATCACACACACTTGCGTTAATGAAAAACTGCTAAAATTAAGATACAAGATGGCTTCAGTAAACTGGTGCTGAGCGCGCTCGACGTGGGCGCAGTCACCACGGCTCCAACTGCTCCCGCAACTGTCGCCATCATTCAAATTCAAATCTGCTGCTCCCGCTTAACCAGCTACCCTGCAGCTTCGGTACAGTGAGCAACAGGCTTACACCAACAGTCGGGGAACCAAGAGCAGCTTGTGCTTGCGTTGCAGCACGATGCCGAACACCTCAGCCATGTCGATGTCGCACGCCGCCTTCCCCTGCGGCAACTCCCAGTCGAAGCGATGCACGAGGTTGGCCAGCATGGCCTCGACCGACGCGACACCGAAGTTCACCCCGGGGCACATCCTGCGCCCGGAACCGAAGGGCAGGAGCCGGAAGTCGGCCCCCCTGAAGTCGATGCCTGCCGCGCTGCCACCGTCGAGGAACCTCTCGGGGGCGAAGGCCTCCGGGTCCTCCCAGAAGCGCGCGTCCGTGGAGATGGCCCAGGAGTTGACCAGGACGCTCACGCCGGCCGGGACCGCGAAGCCGTCGACGCTGCAGCAGGCCATGGTGAAGTGCGCCGTCAGGATCGGCGTCGGCGGGTGCAGCCGGAGCGACTCCTTTACCACCGCTCTCAGGTAGGCCATGTCGCGCAGGTTGTCGTCGCTGACGACGGCCCCTTGTCCCCTGGGTACAACGCTCCGTACCTCGGCTTGTAGTTTCTTCATGGCGTCTGGGTTCCGCATGAGCTCAGCGACGGTGAATTCGAGTGCCGCAGCTCCTGTCCCTATTCCCCCCAAGAACACGTCCTGCAAAGATGAGATATTTCATTCTGTCACACATTTTCATGTATATGTAAATAATACACATACAAATACTGCTACTTACAAGCAGGATAGCTTTCATCTGCTCTCTGGTGAGGCCGTACTCGTGTCGAACGGAGTGCAAAATATGTATGAAGTCAACCTCGTTGTCCTTGCTAGGATTACTGGGAACACTCGACTCGTGGTCCTGAATAAGCCTGTCCAGCTGCTCGTCCCACCGTCTCCTCAGCCTCTTGGATTTGGCGCGGACCGCCCTACTGATCACGCCGAAGCGAGCCAGGAACGGGAAGAACTCCTCGACGTTGAAGCCGCCCAGCAGCGGTGAGGTGTCGCTGACGAGCTCCCGGAACAGCTTGTTCCGGCCCTCGCCCCGGAAGGACTTGCCCATCACGGCGCGGCACGCCAGGTCGTTGGCGAACGAGCCGAGCAGCTCACCCATGTCCACCGCCGCTCCTGCCGCCGCAGCCTCGCCAATCCTGGCCATCACGTCGCTCACCTACGCATCACACACACCTCACATATGTTTGCTTCCAAGGTTATATATATATTTCGATCGTACGTAGTCTTACCTCTTGTTCGCGGGCGATGCCGAGCGCCTGCACCCTCCTGACGGTGAGCAGGTGCGTGGTGATGAGCTTCCTGGCCCGCCGCCAGTAGTCCCCATACGGCACGAAGCCGACGTCGGAGGGCCCGTACATGACCACCTCGGCCACGAGGGAGTAGGGCCGGGACGCGCACACGCGGTCGTGCGTGCGCAGCACCGCCTCGGCCGCGCGCGGCGACGACACGACGAGCACTGGCATGGCGCCGAGGCGGAGGAGCATGACGTCGGAGCCGTGCTTCCTGGCGAGCCTGCGGAGGGAGACGTGCGGGAGCGAGCCCACCAGGTGGAGGTGGCCCAGGACGGGCAGAGCTGGAGGCGAAGGCGGCGGTAGGAGAAGGTTGTCGTCGTCATCGTCGGCTAGCTGCGCCTGCGCCTCCCTCTTCCTCGCTCTCCTGTCACTGAACGTGGCCAAAGAGTAGCGTGCGAGCAAGACGCAGAAGAGGAGGAGCATCCATGCTCTTGGAGACCTCAGCTCGTCATGCACCAACGCCAACTGATGTTCTAGGTTTGCCATGGCAATTGATCTCATCAGTGGTTTGGACCTCGACCTGCGAGGGAATAGTAATAAAGCCGCCGTTTAACGTTCCGTCGATGGTTTTTCAGTGCTCCACTAACTTTTCTATACAGTATATTGCCCGTGTGCTAACGCTACGATAACATTTCGTACATACACATCAAAATGGTCAAAAGACAATAAAACCTCTTGTCACGCTATTGATCGAGTCATCGCCATCACGAGAAGTCTTGGAAACAAAATCATTTTCCAAACAAACTATTATGGTTTACACGGTTGCTATCAAGGATCAAGTCCCTTGTTGTGCACGCCACCTTGCCTCCTACTGTCGTACATGTGTGACACTGTGAGGGGAAGAAAATTCGGTGGACACAGGTCCTGTCCATCTTTGCCAATGTTGACGCGTCACCAGCAACTGATCGAATTGCATGTCCAGCGCAAGGGGCAGCTCGCTGCAGCGCCTTTCTCCGCGCATCAAGGGCTCACCTTACGTATTTGCCAAAAAAAAAGCCGCACCTTCCGTAACGTCTGATTTTTTTGAGACGCGTGGCAGTCATCAAAGCCGTGGTCTCACAGATGGTGGTTTGCAACGTGTACGCAATTTTGTTTCTCTGTTTGGTTCCTGGGACTTTTAGGTGGCTGAATTTTAGCTTACTTTCATGTGACGATTATTACATATATTTTATATTAATAATTGAAACTTTAGTTCATTGAAATTATGTAATTATAATCTGGAATTTTCGGTTCCGAGAATAAAAACATGTTAGACAAAACCACAAATTTGATAAAATCTGATTTGCATTGACACAAAAGACAATTAGCAATTTTCAATTGTTTTTATAGTTAAAAACCAAAATTTGATATGTTATGATACAAATACAAATAAAAATCATAAAAGTAACAATTATATTGTACTAATTGGTTTTGAAATTATCTTAGAATTCAGACACCTGAAAATGTAGTAGAAGTGGATTTGATTTGATGTGACCTTCAAGAATCAAGATCACACTTTAACTACTATAATAATTTCTCTTACTTCCTCTGTAATTGTTTTTGGTTGACTTGGAGGGAGGAAGATGAGCACGAGGAGGAGATTTTTTGACACCACCGCACCTGTCCCACAACATTGTCATCCATAAAGCCCACCTATTATATATTGTCTCTTTCATATCTTTAAATATTTCTCCTTCTCCTATTCTTTTCTTGATAAAAGCTTCATAGGATATCTTCCATTCCTAAATCCACTACAAGCACCATATGGATGTGTTGAAAATGTGCATAAAATCCTACCTTGGTCTGAGTCAAGCAACCACACCTCCCTTGCCCCAACACGCACTGCTCAACACGCACTCGCACTACCACCAATTCCCCAACTTTACACAATTGCTAGCCCCACTCCTCAATCCGGGCGGATTCTATTCTCGACTAAAAGAAGAGCACCACATCAGGAGATGGTTTGATTGCCCAACCACCAACATCACTTGGAATAGGGCAACAAGACCCATAAGGCCAATATCAGTGGAGGTTTCATCAAGTTTCATGTGCATTAAATATGCCATGTGGCACCTCTGCTCAGACTTTCTGAAGAGAGAATATGATAAAAGTTTCATCAGGAGTAGAGAGGGTTCCATGAGGATGAAACTCTTCTATGATTCTCGTTTCCAAAATATGGATGTGTTGAAATCACTTCGGGACATGAAATCCTTCAATGAGTCGTGTCTAAGAGTCAAGTCAACCACAAAAAATTTAGGGCGGTGAAGATTGTTGAGAGCTCAACACGCACTGCCTCACTACCATACCCCAAATCATGCAACTTTAGGAGCAATTGCACCACTCGCAACTCGAAAATTATTCTATTCTGTAGGGCTACAGTAGCACCACATCACCACTACATATATATATATATATATGCACCAATATCACTTGGAATATATATATATATCATTTCGATATACCATATATATATATATGCATCCTTGCTTGTGTATAAACCAATCTCAACAAAGATGTCCCACATCATTGAACACTACCATTATATAGCCATAGAAGACAATGAGCTCGCCTGACTTTCTCAACAAGGGAATATGACCAATGACCTATTACCATCAAACTATTATGTGTGCTCGGTGGACCAAAGATTGAGGAGCCTACAACAACTAAATGATTCTTAGGTCCAAGGACCAATCAATTGTATCCCATCATCACTTCGTACCCATTGTTTGGAATCCTAACTTCAATAAAAACCCGTTGTTACAAATATGTCTCACGTGTGTCGTCAATGTACTCATGTGAACAAGAAACAAAAACCTGACGATTCTTAAGGCCTCGGCGAATTGGCATTCAACATATATGTATATTTATTAGGATCATATTTTCTAAATTGCACACTTGAGCAGAAAATCCAATCAATAGCCTATAGCAACTATATGATCCATGAACCAATCAATCCATTGCCTATCCGATGAAAGAGAAGGCAGCATATATGGTGAGGATTCTGTGTTATATGACAAAGAAGACCCTCCAATGAAAGATGGAACCATATATGCTAGTATGAATGAATTCAGGGCATGTAGTGCAACAGCATGCTATAAAGGGACAATTTGAACTTGCAATAGAGAAATCTTGCAAATATTTGTTCAGAGGGCACTGCAAAGCTGAGGGTTGTCCATAGTCTATTGTAGCAAGGTTGATGCCTGATCAAGTCCAAGTCAGGGTACTAACACTTTTCATATATGCAGTATGCTAACTTAATGTATTATGAAGTATTAGTCCTCATGCATGTATGTTACGTTACTAACATGTTTGTTTCCATTTAACATGTTACATTGAATAAAGAAAATCATTTTTGTCTATCTACTAGAAGAGTGAGGACCAAGATGGCATCATACCATTGGGTAGCAAAGAAGGCAGTCCCCTTACCAATGAAGGATCCAAACATGAGGAGCAAAGAAAATACAAGAGCTAGAGAACAAGTATCAAGTCAAAATTGGGTATGGTACTGCATAAGGGTTTTGTTGTGGCAGGAGAACAAATTCATGGGACATGGAAAGAAAGTTTTGGATATTTGTTCAACTTCAAGGCAGAGATTGAGCTTAGAATGTCAAGAAGTGTTGTAGAGATAGACATCATGAATAAGGAGGAAGGTGTATTTTTTCCATAGATTCTTTTGTTGTTTGAAATCACGCATTGATGGTTTCCTAAATGGTTGTCGGCCATTTTTGAGTATTGACTCCACATCTCTCAATGGTAGATGGAGTTGCCACTTACCTTCAGCTACAGCACTAGATGAGCACAACTGGATGTTTCCAGATGCATTTGGGTTTTTTGATGGTGAGACTACTAATAATTGGACTTGGTTTATGCAGCAACTACAAAAGGCAATTGGGAATCCACCGCACCTAACTATAAGTTCAGATGCTTGCAAGGGTCTAGAGAATGCAGTGAAGAAGGTATACCTTTGGGCGGAGCATAGATAATGTTTTGTCCATCTCATGAAGAATTTCAGCAAGAGGTTTTAAGGACCTGCATTTGGGAGAATGTATCCTACAGCAAGGACTTTCCAACTAGAATACCATGAGTACTTAATGAACAAGATGTATGCAATAAATAAAATGGTTGAGCCATGGTTGAAAGCCAATCACAAGCAAAGTTAAAGGAGGCGCTAGGCGCTGACCCATAGCCTAGCGCCTAGGCTAGCCTAGGCCAGCCTAGGCGTTTCAAGGCGTTTTGTCAATTTAGCACACAACATATATATATATATATAGCAGAAAATGCTGAATAAATTAGTTAAATAGAAACATAGAGTAGCTGAATACAGTATATAAAAGAGAGGGCAGTAGACATACCTTAGTGGCTTACTGGCTTAGGCTCAATAATCAATAGATAGCTTGTTTCTAGTTCCTACAACAAGGATTGACAGCATATAAATACTCAATAGACAACAAGCAGTTCATAAAAAATATAGAAAATAGCAAGTTGACACTTATTTGAATGATTTCAGCCATCTCCCATCCATGAATAGACCATATCAGCAGCTAGTAATTATAAATTTTAAAGCACAAACAAGTGGACAGGACAGCAGTACAAGTGCACAACACAATTCATAAATAAAGATCTTGTTCAGAGACCACGTAGTTCTCACAAAAGAAGAAAAACACAGTCACACAGCAGTAGTTCATAAGTTTCAGACATACATGAATGCATCATAAAAGATAAACCATGACACGATAAAAAGGCCCCACTACCATATCATCTTTCTTCTTCCATAGGGTTTCACATAATCATCCTCGTCTTCATCAAACTATTTTTCTTCGGAGTCAAATTCTTCTCCTTCATAAAGCTGTCTCACTCTTGCACTTCTACGCAGCTTAAGTTGTTCTTCTGCTCCCACTACATCTCCAATAACAGATCAAGGTATCTCTGTACCTTCCATCTTATCTTGCTCATCTGTATAGATAACTAATGCACAACCATCTCCATTCTCATGTAGAAAACCTTGAGCTTCAGTTGTATCATTAGACAAAAGAATATCACTGATCTTCTTTGACTTGATCTTTTCTTTCTTATTAATCAGCTTGGAGTTGAATTGAATATAGACCAATTTATTCAGGCGGGCTGTAGTAAGCCTATTTCTCTTCTTAGTGTGTACCTATAAATTTAAAATAAGAACATTTTTAGGTCTGTAATTTAATTGTAATGCTGCTGCAATTTTCAGGTAGACATGTACTAACCCCTTTAAACCCGCTCCAATTTCTTTCACAACGAGAAGAGCTTGATGTCAAAGATAAGATCCTTATAGCCATCTTCTGTAAAGCTGGTGTTTCAGTTCCATACAGCCACCACCATGATGCTGAAATAAATAAAAAACACCTCTATTAGTTAATAGCCATTTATTGTTAAATGAAAACAGTAAACAACCATGTTGTAATCAAATTTATTGTAATAACAAGTACCTCTATCTGGGTTGTAATCAAAATTTTCAAAAGTCCTTGCAAGCTTCTTGTTAAACGGTCCTTCTCTATTCTGAAACTTTATCATTTCAATGTTGGCAGCCTGATCTTGCTTTTCCTCATCATGATAATAAAAAGTCTCCACAGAACTTATAAATCCTTCTGTTATTGTGGGCTCATCAAATATTGATGGGTTACTATAACTATAGTGTGGATTCAACAAATAAGCTATCAAATGCAATGGAGAATCAAGTCTTCCTTTCATCTTCTTGCCAATAACATCAATTACCTCCTTGAATCGGGACTCATTATTGCCGAAGGCCTCTTTGATCTCTCTCTTTGCTTTTAGTAGTTCTCCATAAATGAAACCCATGGATGGCTTCACATCCCCATCAACCAAACGGAGAACCCATTCTTCAGCACAATTAGTGCACATGTTCATTATGCTTCTCCTCTTCCTATCCGACCAAGCATCAGTCATAATAGAGCACCCATTCTTTAGCTTCTCGGCTTCACGTTCTTGCAGCAAACTCTTGGTTCTTGCATATTCTTCTTCTAGCAATCTTTCTCGTAGATCATACTAAGTTGGAGGTTCAAGTCCAGCCACAAATTGTCCAATTGCTTCAACCATTTGCTTGAACTCATCATTGTCATATGCATTGAATGGTATTGTTGCCAATGTTACAAAAAAAGAAGGTTAATTAGTGTTCAGTACAGCCATAATAGCATCTAATGAATTTTGAAATATAAATACAGAATAGGAACTTACCATGTGTATAGACCCATCTTGCAATATATTTATGCACCTCATGTGTTCTTTCTTTCCAAAGCTCATTGTTCAGCTTTTGTTGAGTGAAAGATTCAGATTTGGTTGCTTTAGGATCAATAGCACGTGTCCATTTATCAATGGATCCTAATTTGTGAGGCTCTGAACTTCTAATACAAGTGACTTCCTCTGACTCTCCACCTCCAACACGAGAAACATTCATTTCCTCTCTAAGTTCTAGCTCACAAACAATCTTCTCCTCCCTCTTCCTTTTTGCATCATTTAGTGCTTTCTTGCACTTCTCTTTAGCCTCCAGAGCCTTCGGTGTTCTGGCCTTTCATTTCGTCGCATTCTTTCCTTCATGGGCCACATGTTACTTCAATCGATAAATCCCTCCTTGCATCACCTTGTCACAGAGTTTGTACTTCACCTTGTCCTTGTTGTTGGCATCAACAAGAACCCCATATTCCCATCCCACATCATCCGAATTCCTTCTCAAGAGATTCGTTCCCTCAGTGTTCGCTCCCTCAGTTTCAGGTGCAACATCTGTTGTCGACATCCTACATTCAGATTTCAGTGAGCATACATTCAGGGTTCAGTGACATCAATATTACCAAATGACAACAGGCATTTAGTATGCAATAGCCTATACATACATTCAGATTTCAGTGAGTTTGGTGAACATTCAGGCAATACATACGTGTAGCAAATTAGCTATAACAATCAATGACACATCCTACATTCAGGCATTCAGAGAAGGCATTCAGAGTAACATTCAGGCATTCATGCATTCAGATTAGGCATTCACAGTAGGCAGACATTCAGATTCAGAGCACAAATCAGGCTCTCTAACATTCAGGCATTCAGAGTAGTCATTCAGAGCATTCAGGCATCCAGAGTATTCTGTTTCAGAGTAGGGGAAAGGAGTAGGGGAGGGGACTGACCTTGGGGCTGTCGCTTAGGGAGGACCGGAGGACACTGTCAGGGAGGGATGCGCCTGTGGGAGGGGTGCGTCGATGGGAAGACGAGACCGGTGGGGAGGAGTTTCCAGGCAGGGAGCAGTGCGACCGGCGGGGAGGTGCTTCCAGGCGGGGAGGAGCTTCCAGACGGGGAAGAGCGCGGCCTACGGGTCCACCTGCCCGGCGCCGGCAAGGAGGAGCGCGGCCGTTGGGAGTAGCTTCCCGGAGGGGTCGCAGGAGGAGGCGGGTGAGCTACAGTGGCCATCTAAGAGCGAGAGAAGCATGAAGCAGACAGGCATGCGTCCTTTCCCCCCTTCTCCCTCTTATCCTTCCCTCGTGAGGCTTCTTTTCCCAGTGCTCTGCCCAAGCTCGCTATGCTTGCGCGCTCATGGGGGCTAAAAATTTTGCACGCTCACCCGAGGCGTCGCCAAGACGCATCCTAGAGTGCTACGCGCGCAGGCGCGCCGCTATGACGCCGAGGCGCCAGGCTGCGCCCGCCCTAAGGTCCGCCTACCCCCATAGGCTAGGCGAAGCCCGTCGCCTCCCGATTAGTCGCGCCTAGGCGCGCCTAAGGCGTCACCTTTTTGAACTTTGATCACAAGTTGAAGTGGATGAGCAACAAATTTTTAGAGGCAATAAAGTGTGATCATATCACTAATAATGTGGCAGAGGTTTGGAACAATTGGGTGAAGGACATTAAGGACCTTCCCATAGCTGACCTTGATGACACTCTTATGTCAAAGTTCATGGAGCTTTATGCAAGAAGGAGAATATGTGAGAAATTTGAAGGACATGTAATGTTGCCAATAGTTGCTCGCCAACTATATGCAATGAGTCGACAGTTGGGTCACTTGAAAATAAAAGAAGGTGGACGAGATGAAGTAGAGGTGACAGAGGTCACAGATTCCCAAAAGATCATAAGACATGTGGTTAATATCCAGAATCACACATGTACATGTAGGGAGTGACAAGTCTCAGGGAAACCATGTGCACATGCTTTGCTTCTAATCACCACACATAGAAATCCTAAGATGGAAGATTACCTTGATCCATACTACTCAGTGTACCATTTTAGACTAGCCTATGGTGGTGTGATCAAACCACTACCTGATAAGTCTCAATGGGCAAGTGTGGATCCTAGATTTAAAGTGCTACCACCACTTGATAAGAGAGAGGTTGGAAGACAAAGGAAACTCAGAATACCCAGCTGCACTGAGAACAAGGGAAGCAAACCCAAGGGCAAGGCATGTGGCAAGTGTAGTGCAAAAATTACTTAGGTCATGGCCATAGGACAACATCCCCAAAGTGTCCTCTCAATGGAACAAAGAAGAGGTAAATGTGTTTGCCTTTTTCAACCCTAACTCATATTTTCTTCATATTTTGAACTTATCTCAATTTTACATTTACAGAAAAAGTCGGGCCAAGAAAGGAAAGGCAGGTAGGCCTGCTGGTTCTACCAAAGGTGATGCGGCTCCTAGTCCATCAAAAAGGTAGAAGGTTCATGTGCAAGAAAATTCAGTGAATAATAGTCTTGGACTTGTGCAAGAACTAGAAGGCACAAGAGAAATTAGCACTAGTCCCGAGCCTGTTACAAGAAGGTGAATTTCTATAAACTAAACATTGACTTGGAACTTGGAACTTGGAACACTATCTATTTTTTAGGCTAAACATTTGTCTCATTTTTAGCCAAATGCAATTAACAATGGTGAAATTTGGAGGCACTAATCAGATCACTGCAAGCCCTAGAGCAGTGACTAGAAGGTAAAATGATTCACCTTGTTTAACATGTTTATGCTTATCTTACTTCATATACTAAACCAGTCTATTTTCCTATGGTATTTAGTCAAACCGGAGAAGGGGCGAGTAATACTATGGCCACTCCAAGGAAGATGCTAGGTCTGAAGAGAAAACTCACTCCAAAGAAGAGAAAGAAGATCGATGTTTGAATATTCCTAGAACAACATTTGGAGACTTTTGTATTGTTCTAGATTCCCAGCCATCAGGATGTTTCTTTTGTCTATGTGAACGTGTAATCTTAAATTGGCTGGATGATTCTATTGTCTCTATGTGAACCTGTACTCTTTAAATTGCCTACATGGTTGTATTGTCGACTTGAACCTATTTACTAAATTGTATGGCTGGTTCTATTGTGTACGCTGAAATTTGATTATAATTTATGCGTTGTTTATGTTGATTTGGACTAAATATGTTAGATCTATGTAAAATTTAAGTCCTGGGGACTATGGAAACTGTTGGATGAGCCGGCAGGGAAGATGAAGGGGAGAAAAGTGCGCGAACCGAGAGAAGCGAGGTGCTGGGGCCAGACCACCAGAAAAGAGGGGAGGGTAGTATCATCATTTCCTATGGCCTAAACATTGTAAAGAGGCCGCTGGAAATAAGAAATGAGACAAATCCTTCGTAATCCCTCGAATTAAAACAATTCGCGTGCGCAGGGTTAAATATTGAAAGACTTGCGAATTGGATGTCAAATACTGAGAGACTTGCGAATTCAGGGTTAAATATTGAAATTTCTCATAATAAATAACTGTTCGTATGAGCCACTTATCATATGATATGACCTGCTGTTGGCATCTGTGCTCCACTATTTCAGGAAGTTTGCCAAACATTTCTACTTGACTAAATTGTTTTTTGAGGCCAGAAATTTCAGAGTAGAACCGCCTGGATTGTTCAGGGCATGTGGACAGCAGGGAAACGTGCATATTTAATATCATGTAGATACACATGTTTTTTCTTTATGTTTCAAGTGAGTGCCATCTTTTTTAGGCTCTTTGTTACATACGTTGTAGATGGGAAAACTGAAGCGACACATTCAACCAAGCGATATCACAATAAATATCAGAAAAGGAGCTTCGGTCCCTGAGTTCCTCATACATGAAGAAAGGTTTCATTTTCCTAGATCCTTCATTCATAAATTATGTATGCAGATAGGTTCCTTGTATGTAAGCAGTGTTTCATTGTACAGGTGGGCTGCAGCTGGAAGGAGGTATGATAATACTGTTACATGCTTGGCCTTTTGGAATGATCCAATTACCCAAAAGGATTTCAAGTATGTTTTCCTGGCAGCAAGCAGCGCACTGAAGGGGCAAAGTGATAAAGAGAAATATGAGAAGTCAAGAAAATTGAAGGTGGAAAAGTTCAGTTCCTATGTATGGGGATTTTTTAGTCACCACGGACGTACCTTATAGATAAACTAGCCCTTCAGTCAGGCAATGAAAAGGTACATCCAATTGGAACCTGTGTTCAGTAGCTATTTTAGTGATGTTCCCGTTTATTCTAAAGTGTTAGCATGTGCCAGATGTCTGCAAAACCAAATTGTGGATGGTGCCCATACAGGAATCTCATGCAATCATTCTTTAAGCTGGCAGGACATGTACTAACTATGCATGGTGAAACTTAGTTTTCATTTAGATATTTTCTTTAGCATGCTCCATGCTCTGTTCTCTATCAAACTGGCATAGATAAACACCAGATGATTTTTTGGGTGTGTTTTTGAAAGGGTTTATGATTCTCTGTGTTGCCATGTCAATTTGGAATTTCTGGAACGTAGGATTATTTTTATTTAACACATACAAGTTTTGACATATCCTTTACCTAAACCAAATATTGATCTTTGAATTTCTTCATGAGTTACTGTTCACATGATTTTCTCTCATAAATTTCTTGGCATATTGATCTTTTTCTTCCTGATCATTTCTTGGCATATGTCTTTTCTTTGATATGTTATAATTTTTCAGTTTAATTTGTGGGGGTTCCACAGGGAAAAGGATTTCGTTTTGTGAAAACATGGCAATACAATTTTTGTATCCATCTGTTCTTACAAATGAATCCTCCCACTGATCTCATGGTGCCATTTTCTTTTTATGTTTTTTTTGTTAATTTCGTCCTGTGCTGCAGGGAGACACGGATCATTATATCACAGCCTGAATGTAATACTGTGCTTTTGTATCTAATTGGTTTGCCTCTTTATTTTTGCACTGCATTCTTTGAACAGAACTGCTATATGATTTGTGTTCAAGTGACATGTCTATTGTTACACTATATGGAGGTGAATTATCTGGTTGCATAAGTTGTACATCAATTTATTTCATGGAGTGTCTTATTGTTATTGGCCTCGATAACTGAAGTACATACGCTAAAAAATATTTCTGTTTTCCTGCTTTCTAAATGGTTTGTATTTTCAATGCTCTGCTTTCAGTATCTGCAGGCATCAATATTTATCTGTAATTGTTCATTAGGTGGGTGAGTTCGATTTTAGTAGCATCAAAAATAGTCATGCAGGGTTATTGGGAATTCATTACATGGATTGATTGTGGACATTAGGGTGTTTGAGCCCTGCCATACACCGATGCAATATCATCTATTATGTTGTCTTTCAATGGAAATGCTCGATCTATTCACAATGACACAGAATTTGTGCACTATGCTTGAATTGATCTAATTGTCTATTGGTGTCTTGTAGGTTGTAATGAAAAGCAGGGCCTGCTAGGCTGAAGAGTTTTCGATATAAGTCTGCGTCTCTGCGATGGGTTCAGGCAACATGATCGTGAAGAAGGTGATAAAGCACAGCTCTTTTGATCTGGACATACAGCTTGCCAAGAGTTGGATGGTAAAGCACAGCTCTTCTGTCTCTACGTGATAATAGTTTGTTTAGTGTGGTGAGCTTTGTATGTAATTTTAATCCTGATCAAAATTGCTAAGTTGATATCGGACGATATAAAGCATTATCTTAGCGCATCACGGAAATATCTATACAGTAGAGTTTGTTAACCTATGACACCGTGCTCTCCATAACTGTGTTAATTTCATGAACTTTGTTTTTTTATTAAATGTTACTTTAATATCGGTATTTAATTTCACAGTATTGTTATCTTACCGTGCGATCCGTGTGTTTTTAGTATAAAAGTTTAATTATCCCGTAGCAACGCACGGGCACAAACCTGATAACATATCATATATAGACCTGAATGAGTGTGCGGTTTAGTGGTAGAGACATGGTAGTGTTGAGCGCTAGGTTGTGGGTTCGCCTCTCCAAAGTAGCAAGTTTTTTATTTTTTGAGTTTTCTAAAGAACATTAACGGCGCCTGCCTCGGTTAATGGGATTAACGGAGGCGGACACCTTAAGACGCCATTAATAGATGAACCGAGACAGGCAAAGCAACCATCTCCGTTAATCTGCATTAACGGAGGCCTTTGATTGTAGGTGGTTGCAATGCTCGCCTCTGTTAATCGATTCTGCCCGCCTCCGATAAGTTTTCTGTAGCAGTGAAACCTAAACTCTGAGAAAGTCCATGACAAGCCATGTAAACACTAAAAATAGAAACCACATTCTTAATAGATAGTTTCTTTAAATAAAACTTTATACAATCACGCACGTGTCTTCTCCGTCCTTCAATTCCATCTACATACCACATCTTTTTTTTTAACTTAGTTCCACTTGGACATAGTTTCTTGTATAAGAAAGCATTTTCTTCTCTCTCTTTATTAGTTTTAAATTTCTAATGCCGCATCACAATTCTGCACAGTTGGCACCTTAATTAATAGCTATAGAAATTGTGTCGACCTCCATGTCGAGCACCACAAAGACCATGGGGATGAAGAAGTTCCATTTCTTGACGGGAACGTCTTCGGCGACCTCCACGGGGTAGCTGACCATTTGGTCGATCCGGCTGGCTGCACTACAAGCAAAATATAGGTGTGGGAGACAAGGTTGTATAGTTCAGTTTGTCAAATACTACATATGTCATGACACTCACCCATCGCACCAAGGTCACAAAGCGCATGGTCAAAGTGTTTGTGTAATCTTTCTTCTTTGTCAAAAGCTTATTGAGTATAGCTACCCACGCTCTTCCGTTAGCTTAATCACTTTTGTGGTGGGCCAAAGATACTTGGCGTATGTGGGAACCTGCATAACATCAAGTAGTTGTAGTGGAACATTGATGTACAACTTTTTAATTACCTCCACAAACCTGCTTCTGAATTGTTTATCCATGGATGGATTCCTGATTCGGGGGAACGACAAAATATTGGTGTCATATAATATTCGTGCAGAGTCGTCTTTCCTTGAACTTGACATCATTTTCTTATGATTGCTCCTCTTAATCGGCCTTGCTTTCGCTTACAGACACCTCTCCTGCTAGTTACAGTGCGGCAGATCTTAGTGGGTTACCTTCCCTCGTGGTTACCACATTAACACTATCAATAGAAGACTCGTGTTGTCCCGGGATCTTTCCTTTCTCAAACGAGGGAATTGCAACAACAATTTGGGCAAGTTGAGTTTCATGCATCTTATTAAAGCTAAATTGATTGTTAACGGCAAAGGAGAAGCCTAATTAACCAACTGACATACTGCCAAACAAATATTTTTTACGTTCTTAATTGTTATAAACAATTTAAATAAAATAATTACCACTAATTAATATTTAACCCATTATTGTTCATGTAAACTTAATCCAGTTTGTAAAAAAATAATATGAATGTTGACAATAAGAAATCTAATCCCAAACCCTACTTCTAATCTAGATCCAAACCAGTCACCACCTAAAAACTAATAAATAGACCAATGAAATCAAGAGATGACCACTAAATAAGGGTAGAATCTTGTTCCCCCTACTAAAATTACTCTAGTACCTTCAAAGATTTGATATAATTTCTTTCATAAATGCCTCAACCATCATGAAAGAGAGAAAATCAAAACCCAAATTACACACCAATCTACCACTAAAACTTCAAAAGAGGCTTCGAATAGCATTTACTTACTTTCTAAAGCCTCCTCGATCCACCAAACGAATCAAAATCAAAACCTTGCCCTTGGATTTGCAATTTTTGGGAGGTAGCTAAGGCCCTCTTTCCTTCCTTCTCGGGTTACAGTAAATTGTTTGAGGAGGAAGATGTGGGGCTTGCAATTTATACCAGTAGCTTTTATAGA